AGGAACCTCCATACTACTTTCCTTAGTGGTTTGAAAAAGTTTACATTCCCACCAACAATGAAGTAGGGTTCCCTTCTGTCCATATGCCCTCCAGCATCTGTTGTTATTAGAGTTCTTGATAATAGCCATTCTAACTGGGGTGAGGTGTATCTCAATGTTGTTTTGATTTGCATTTCTTTTATGACTAGGCAAGTTGAACATTTCTTCATGTGTTTATTGGCCATCCTTCTTTCCTCTTCAGAGAAGTTTCTCTTTAAGTCTTTAGCACACTTATGTATTGGGCAGTTGTTTCTTTGAGGACTTGTTGTTGGGGGATTTAATTTTTTGAGTTCCAGGTATATTTTAGATATGAGACCCTTGTCCGTTGTATGGTTAGTGAAGATCTTCTCCCAATCCGCGGGCTTTCTATTGATCTTGCTAGCTATGTCCTTTGCCATGAAGAAGCTCTTCAATTTCATGCAATCCCATTTGTCCATCCTTTGATGAGTCCCTTCCTGGTTTGGTGATGAAGGTTATGATGGCTTTATAGAACGAGTTCAGTAGTGAATTTTCTCTTTCAATTTCATTGAAGAGTTGGAGGAATATTGGTGTGAGCTCTGCTTTGAAGGCCTTGTAGAATTCCTCTGTAAATCCATCTGGTCCTAGGCTCTTCTTAGATGGGAGATCTCTTATTGCTGTTTCTATTTCAATGCTTGATATGGGCCTGTTAAGATGGTTTAACTCATCTTGGTTTAGTTTCAGCATGTCGATATTTGCTAGGAAAAAGTCCATTTCTGCCAAGTTCTCAAACTTATTAGAATAAAGGTTTGAGAAGTATTCCCTTATAATGTTCTGAATCTTGGTTGTTTCTGTGGTGATGTTTCCATTCTCATCTCTGAGTATATTTATTTGGGTGTGTTCTCTTCTTTCTCTGATAAGATTTGCCAAGGGTCTATCAATTTGTTAATTTTTTCAAAGAACCAACTCTTTGTTTTGTTGATTCTTTCTATGTGTTTTTTGGAATCTAATTCATTTAATTCTGATTTAATTTTAATTATTGCTTTCCATCTACTGGATTGGGGTTTATCTTGCTGTTCTTTCTCAAGGAGGTTCAGATGTTGTTGGTTTCAGATCTCTCCAATTTGTTGATGTAGGAACTCAGAGCAATAAACTTGCCTCTGAGTACTGCCTTTGCTGTGTCCCAGAGGAGCTGGTAATTTGTGTGTTCATTTTTATTGAATATCATGAACAGTTGAATTTCCTTTCTAATCTCTTCCATGACCCACTGGTGATTCAACAGTGTGTTGTTCAGCCTCCATGTGTTACAGGACTTTCTTTGGTGGCTTTTGGTGTTCAGTTCTAATTTTATTCCCTTATGGTCTGAGAGAATGCAAGGTATAACTTCAATGTTTCTGAATTTGGACAAGTTTGCTTTGTGAGCTAAAATGTGGTCTATTTTGGAAAATGTTCCATGAACTGCTGAGAAAAACATGTATTCTGATGCTGCTGGGTGAAATATTTGGTAGATGTCTGTTACATCTAGTTGCTCTATGCAGTTGTTTAGATGTGCAGTTCCTCTGTTGAGGTTTTGCTGAGTTGATCTATCTAGTGGGGATAGTGGTGTGTTAAAATCCCCAACAATTAATGTCTTTGGATCTATGTGAGTTTGAGGGAACGTAGTAGTGTTTCTTGGATAAATTTGGGTGCTCCATTGTTTGGTGAATATATATTTAGAATTGTAATATCCTCCTGAAGGAGAGAGACCTTAATTAGTATGTAGCGACCTTCTTTATCTCTTCTCACTAGTTTTAACTTGAAGTCTATTTTATCTGATAGTAGGATTGCAACTCCCGCTTGTTGATGGAGGCCGTTTGCTTGTACATTTTGTTCCAGCCTTTCACTTTCAAAATGTGTTTGTTTTTATGGGCAAGGTGTGACTCCTGAAGGCAGCAGATAGAAGGATCTTGCATTTTAATCCAACTAGACAATCTATGGCGCTTAATTGGAGAGTTAAGTCCGTTAATGTTGAGAGTTAGGACTGAGAGGTGTTTGGTAGTTCCTGCCATGCTATCTACCTTCTTGGGGGCTGTGACAACTGGGTTCTTCCTGTGGTTCTTGATTTCTCAATTTGTATGCTGTTTCTTGGCCTTTATTGTGGTCTTGTTGAATTTCTATGCATAGGACATTTTTAAAATGTCTTTTGTATGGCTTGTTTGGTGGAGATACATTGTTTCAGTTTTTCTTTGCTATGGAAGGTTTTTATTTGACATTCAGTTATGAAGGAGAGTTTAGCTGGGTACGGCATTCTTGATCCACAGTTGTTTGTCTTTAGGCCATGGCATACATCATTCCAGGCTCTTCTTGCTTTAATTGTCTCTGCTGAAAAATCTGAGGTGATTCTAATTGGTTTCCCTTTATAGGTGATTGAGCTTTTCTTCTTGACAGCTTTAAGGATCTTTTCCTTGGTCTGAATTGATCCTGTGTGGGTGGGATGTCCTGTTTAGTCTGGTCTATTTGGGGTTCTAAAAACTTCTTATATCTGAATAGGCCTATCTTTTTGCATGTTTGGGAAGTTCTCTGCTAGGATCTTGTTAAACAAATTTCCTAAACCATTAACTTCTGCCTCTAAGTGCTCCTCTACACCCATTATCCTCAGAATAGGGCTTCTGATGGTGTCTTCCAAATGTTGAATAGATCTATCATATTCCTGGGGTTTGTCTTGGATAGTTGTATGTTCTTTCTCTATGATATCTAGGCTGTCTTCAGTCTCTGAGATTCGATCTTCTGCTCGGTCTAACCTACTGTCAAGACTTTCTACTTAGTTTTTTGTGTGTGTGTCTGTCTGGTCATAGTGTCTGAACTCTGGGCCTGGGCACTGTCCCTCAGCTCTTCAGCTCAAGGCTAGCGCTCTACCACTTGAGCCACGGTGCACTTCCAGCTTTTTTCTTTTTGCTTATGTGTTGCTGAGATATTGAACCCAGGGCCTCATGAATGCAAAGCAAGCACTCTACCACTGAGCCACCTTCCCAGTCCCCTCTATTACTTTTTTATTCCTTTTTCTTCTAATTGGTCAGCTTTGATGGCTTCAAATTCTTTGTTGGAGCATTGTTTTAGATCTTGTATGAACTTCTTTACTTCCTTAATTTGGTGTTCAGTGTTTATTCTCAAATCAATTAGTTGATTGGTTATGGTTTCCTTGGACTCCTATTCCTTCTGTCGGGCTCCATTCAGCATTCCTTTTGTGGTCTCCCTGAATTCTTTCAGCTGTCTGTTTCTGGATTCCATGAATGGCTGTACTGATCTTTGTCTATTCTCATCCCACTTTCCCAATTCCTGTATTACTCTTTGACTGTTCTCAGCATGCTCACACAATTCCTGTGCTTCTCTTTGACTGTTCTCAGCCTGCTCACGCAATTCATGTCTTTCTCATTGACTGCTTTCAGCCTGCTCACGCAATTTCTTTATTTCTCTTTGACTGTTCTCAACCTGCTCACACAATTCCATATTACTCTTTGAGTAGATTCCTCATGCTCACGAGATTCCTGTATTAATCCTTGGTTTGCCTCCTCTGGTTCCCTACCATGCTCACACTGAGTCCTTTGCAGGTTTTCAGTCTTTTCACTTACCATGTTTACTACTGTTTGTAGAGCTTTTTGGGAACTCTTCTCTGGATTATTCATTAACGCTTCTATCACCTGATTATCATGAGTGGGAGTTGAGGTACCTGGACTTGCCATTTTTCTTGTGTTTTTCAGGCTTGTTCTACCCATTTGGTATGAAAGTAACACCAATTTTGTGCTAGAACACTACTTTAAGGCAAGCATCAACCAGAGTCCTGTAGTTGCACAGTCAAAATGGCTACACACTGTGATATTTCTCAAGGACACATACCCCTCCCATCCTGTGGCAACCCTGGTGGCTGAGATCAAGGGCAGTCATTTACCCACTTGAAAACCATTTGAAGGGAACTTGCTGGTTGCAGCACTGTGAGGAGACAGGACTCTCTGGGCCTCTAGTAATCTGGGTGCCTGGTCTGTTATCAGGAGTGTGTGAAACATGTAGATCCTGCTAAGAAGCAGTGAGACACCAGGGGCCAGAAACTGCAGCCCAACCTGACTTCCAAGAGGACATGGTGCCTGTGAAAATCTGCTTTACTCTTTAAACCGGTGCATAGTACTCTTGAGAACCTACAGACTGGCTGCATGTGTATTCTTTCTTGATGCCATTTCTGGAAGGCTCATTTGTCCTAGATTGACTTTCCTAAAGATTCTCTGACCACCATTCCAGCCAGAAGGTCTGATATGCACTCAAGGTCTCCAATCTAAGGAACTGTGGCCAAGGATATGGACCCAGACCCTTCTACCCAGACCTGGGCAGATGTTCTTGTTGGGCTCTCACACAGTTTGGAGAATAGACAACGACACCAATCATCGTGAGCACAAGTTTATTGCAGAGCATCTAGCTCAAGTTCAATAATTCACTCTTGATTAGAGGATAGAATTTTTGTAGTGGGTTCATGGGAATGTTAGTGTATTCCGGTAGGACCTGATAAGAAAGTAACTAATATAGTATATAGTGCTTATGCTCCTGGATTGTGTGTGTGTATGTGTGTGAGAGAGAGAGAGAGACAGAGAGAGACAGAGAGAGAGAGAGAGAGAGAGGGACAGACAGAGAGAGAGATTTGGTGTGTTTGTGCTGGTAGTAGAGCTTGAAATCAGGACTGAGAGGTATCCCTTAGCTTTTTTACTCAAAGCTGGTGTTGCACTCTACTGAAGCTGAAGCTCCATTGCCAGATTTTTTGCTGCTTAACAGGAGAGAAGAATCTCATGGACTTTCCCACACAGACTGGGTTCAAACTACAGTCTTTGGATATCAGTCTCTTGAGATTTAGTACAGGCCACCAGAACATAGCTCAACCCATGCATTCTGCTGGAGGTTGATCAGACAGTAACTAATAGTGACAAATAGATATTATGCAAACTGGGGCACAGCTGAAGAAGAGAATGAATGAAGCAGGGGCGTTAGTTCAAGATGCTGATCTGGTATCAGCAAAATGGGATACAGCTAGACAAGGGGAGAAAGTGAGGCTGGAGTGTGTGTAAGCCCAGACACTGGTCTGGAACCTCAAGATAAGGACTTTTGGCTACACAGACTCAATTGCTCTCTCTGACCTTCATTTTCCTAACCTAAACAGTACATGGTCAGGGGAGCTGAGAGTCTAGATCGTTGAAGTTCAGGGTTTAGTAACAAATTCTTTTATTTTCACTGAAGTTCACAATGCTTCTTCTTACTAGTGTGGCTGTGTTGCACCACTGCAAGGTCCCCATCTGCACTCTCACTTCCTGCACCACCATTCAGAACCCTGGCATCTACAATAACCATGTTAATTGTAAAACTATGGAATGAGAGGGTTTTAGAAGCATTCTGTATGAGTGAGGATGTTGATGAAAACTTACATAAAAATAGTGATCTCAACAAAGACAAGGTGACAGAGACAGGATATACAGAGAGAGAGAATATGATTGAGAAACAAAGAGACAGACAGAAACAGAGAGGCAATCACAGATATAGACACAGACACAGAGAGACAACCAAAGAGAGACTCAGAGAAAGCATTAGAGATCTAACCCAGGTTCCAGTGGCTCACACATGTAATCCTAGCTTCTCAGGAGGCTTAGAACTGAGGATCTTGATTCAAATCCAGCCTAGCTTATAATTTTACCTCTGATTAAACACTCAAAAACCCTAAATAAATCCAACGGGCATGAATGTAGTTGTCTGCATAAAGTTATATTTGAAAGTGTCCTAAACAATTTTATTAAAAATATCAAAGACTGGGATGTAGCTCAGTGGCAAAACACTTGCTGATAAAGTATGATATCCTGGGATCAATCCTCATTACCAGAAAAAAGTAAATAAATGAAGAGAGAAGAGAAAAAAGAACAGTGAAGAATATGTCACACTCAGATGTGAGGCCCCATTGAGATTCTGGATCTTCTGGGGCAGGGTCTTGGTCCAGAACTTCAGCCTGGAGGTCTTCAAGGCCTGACCCACAGCAAGATGAATGTCCAGCTGTAGATATTGCTCGTTCTGGTCAAACATGGGCCAGTGGAGCAGATCCGCACTGTTGGGGTTCCTGTGAACACACCCCAGGAGAAGTGGGGTGGTAAAAGTCATTCTGAGTTCTTGTGAACCTGCACCCAATCACCTCATTAGTGTCCTGCTTTGCAGCCCAAAAGATCAGGAGTGGAGGGAATGAGAGAAAATTTATTGGAACTTTATAGGAAAACTGAGACCACCCTATAGTATCTGTTGCATATGGCTCACAACCACCCAAAAGAGTTAGTGCTGATGTTTCTACAAAAATGCAGACAACTTTCAGCTCTCTGGGGCAAGAGAGAGTGACTTGAACCTATAAAGCACTCACTGTGTATGAGTGAGTCCTGGGGTTTGAGGCAGAGCTGTCATTTGAGTAAGAATTATGGATGCACATAAAGATGCCACAAGGGGATCAGTAGGTGGACTCCACTGGTGGGAGGCAGAGTTAGGTGTATGTTCTTACCTATTCCGGGCAAAGTTGGCCCAGTACTTCATCATCCTCCTGCTCAGTAGCTCCTCTTCCTCAGAAAAGCCCGCTGCACAAAGGAGAACAGGAGTCTGCATCTTGGACAACATTTCAGGGTGCCTACTCCTGCTCTCCACCCTCCATTCAATTGTAGTCTGGTCCTCCATACCAAGCCAACTTCTCTTCCTCTCTTCCACCCAAGATCAGGTATTCCCATTGCACAACCTTCCATTCTTCTTCCTTACCTCTAGCTGAAAAGACTAGTGTGTATTCCTAGACTAGTGGACAGTTCTTCCCCAGTCCTTGGGAATAATGTATGGACAATCTTCATGTCCTATCATCTACTCTGTACCCATGTCTGACACCTTATAGCAAGTGGGGACAGGTGTTGGAAGCACAGGCTGTTTGGGAAAAGGTATGGATTGTAAACACCTGAAGCTTTTGGAATGCTAAGATTTCAGACACTTCGTGTCCTCTCTCTGAGCTTCCATGGTAGACCATGAGAAGACCCCACTTACAGGCCCATTCTAGTTTATGGAAATGAAGAAGACTCACGGCTGCTGCCATACAAAGAAGACCCAAAGACAAATTCAACCTCATCACTATGGTCGGCCCTCACATATGGAGGCCTGGGGTTCGAGGTCAAGTTCTTACGATGTTGGAACAAGTAGAAGTAGACAGGAGCGTGAGAACCTGGAGGTGGAGACAAATTATGACATGCTGACTTCTCAACTGGAGTCATCTTTCCTCATCTTTGGTGACAAAATAGCTAGGTTGAAGCTGCCTGGAATCTGGACTGTGAAGTGAGAAACCTCAGGCAGGAAGAGGCTTTGTAAACCCCAAAGATGGTCATCACAGTGAATGATCCATTCTCTGACTTCTAGGATGAGCTTTGAGGCCAAGAATTTCAAGGTACTTCCATTTTCCTGATGATCAATGGGAAAAGCTTTGGTTAAATCATGGCTTGGATTTCCTATCTGTGTGGTCTTAGACTAGTAACAGACTAAGTTTTCTTTTCTGTAAATTGCCAGTGATGCCTGTGCCTGGCCATAGCCATGAGAATTTGCTGGCCTATGGGACAGCAGGTGCCTGGCACTGGGGCCTTGTGAGACACAAAAGTGGGGACTTGGACATCATACATTTTCTCTGAGATGCACAGTTCTGAGCTGCCCACTGCAAAGGCAGATCTCAGCCACAGATGTACTCACGCTGAAAATGTGCTACATGCAGTGCAGGCATCACAAATGTAAAGTCCGCCATCATGTCTTGGAACTGAGCTTGGAGGGTCTGGGAGTCCTCTGTGTCCCCCATGTACTCTTCCATCAGCAGGTGAGCACACTCAGCAGGCAAGTTCTGTGCCAAGAAGATCAGAGAGAGTCAGGTTAGGCAGGCAATAGAGTGGGAGGAAGGAGGCAGCCTCTGGGTGGGGAGATGGGACTGGATGGGACACGAGTATAAGGGGGAAAGAGCCAAACTCTGGCGAAACCCCACCACCATCACATATCCCATCCTTTATTACTGAAGGTTACTGTGGGAATAAATAGCTTGGGATTTCCCATCCATAGGGGCAGGTGTCCACGTCCTTACCATGCGTTGTACCATGTACTGCATGACAGATGGCAAGTTGCTTCTATTTATTCCCATTATCATGTCAAATAATCCCAACATCTAAGTGGTGGGGAGACAATTTGAGCTGGAATTGCGTGATCATGAAGGTATCATGCCCTGTCCAACCATAAACCCCCTACCACTCACACACATAACAGATGAGCTCCCCAGACAACTAATAAGTTAGAATGAAGTCTCACCTGGGGGATGCCATAGCCATACTCATCACTGTTAACACCAATGATGCTAGGGACAGGGTGGAAGTCAGCAGAGGCCAGCAGCTCTTTGGGATGCCTGGGTAAGAAGACCCCATCCACCACTCCAGGCATGACCTTGAAGGTCTGAGGAGGCATCAATGATAAGGAGTTGAGATCACATACCACACATTTTTTATTGTCCTCATGTTACTTTCACCATATTCCATTTCTTCCCAGCATTCGCTCCCACACAGAAACCAAGACATCCAACCCTTGAGTTAGCCTCCCTTGCTTTTTGTTTTGTATCCAGGGCTACTAACCAGTCATTGGTTCACATTAGAACCGGGTGATTCGTACCCTTTTTCCCTTTTTCCCTCAGGGAGCAGTGGACAGTTTCCCCTGATGGACCCTCACCACACCATTCAGCCTGACCTTGGTAATAGCCAGCATTTCCTCTTCACTCTTGGCCCGCAGGCAGCGCACCAGGGCCTCTGAGTTCATCTTCACACAGGCAGACAGGTTGGCCACCATCTGGAAAGTAACCATGCAATGGCTGCCATACTCTTTGAAGTAGCAAGAGAGGTTTGTCCATACTCAGACTGATGCAAATTACTCCAAATCTCTTAGGTATAGTGTTTGGGTTGCTATAGGTGTGAAATCATTCCCACTTTCGTGATGCTCAGGGACCTTCAATGGAGGATTCATCCTGTCTGCTTACATGATTATGACCACATGGAAGAATCTGAGTGTAGCCTTGCTGCCCACAGACCACACTCAAACTCTGTGAGGATGAAATGTATAGATTCTACCCATGAGCAGTCTCCAATTCTCAAGAAGGTCCCAAATTACATCCATGATCCTTATAGTCCCAATTAAATAGAGTGAACCAGAAGCTCTAAGGGTGAAGGGAAATACAGGGAGTTTGGCACAGAGCAACTGAGGGCACTCACTGAGGAGACTGGTTCAGAGGAGCTGGAGATGAGGTCTGGCACCACAGCCACCCCACTTTCCATGATGGCACCATGGAACAGTCCTTGGGACATGGGGGACACGACATGTGAGGACACACTTGTGCCACCTGCAGACTCGCCAAAAATGGTGACACCATTGGGATTGCCTCCAAAGTAGGCGATATTCTGCTGGACCCAGCGTAGGGCGGCCACTTGGTCCAGGTAGCCCCAGTTTCCAGTGGCATACTGGTCTCCAGTGCTGAAAAGTTACAGAGACTAGGATCACAGGACTGTCCTGGCTCTTCTTGGTCCTCATTGCCCATTTTAATCCCACACTCACCTGAAGAAGCCCAGGACTCCCAGACGGTACTGGATAGTGACCACCACCACATTCTCAATGGCTGCCAGCATGGATCCATCATTCCAGGAAGCCATGCCCATAACAAATGCACCACCATGGATCCACACCATCACCTGAGAAAGTGAGACAACTGTCACTGATTCCCATTCAGCTTCTATCCTAACTCTGGTTGCCCTAACACTGCCCATGGCTCTGGCAGTGGGCAGTTGCCAACATCAAAGAATTCCTTCAAGACCTCCTGAACTTGGCCCTGGGTGAGGGCCCCAAGTTCATTCAGTATCCTTGAGGTCCACTCTAGGAATCCAAGTCTGAATTAAGGGCTCCAAGACTAGAATATTGGTGTTTTTACTCTGCTGCCTATCTAAAATGGAAAGAAAAGGTGCATTCCTCTGAATGTCTCACCTTAAAATGAGTCAAAAGGATTACATAATAGCATTGGCACAATAGTCAAGCCACAATTTGAGTGATCTCAAAGTATAGCACTTGAGTTTCTCACTGAGACTTCTGGGCTCATGTTGGTAGAGTGAGATCTTGTTTCATTAGAGAGCCCACGTCTCTAACATCTGGGAACAGTTAGGACTCTCCATCCCCTACTATTGGTGAGTCACCCTTCCTGGCACGTGGTGTTTGGAACCTGATAATGAAACTTCTCATTAGGTTCCACACTGGCTCAGAGCTGTTCCTTCCAGTACTAAGAGTCTTACAGAAAAAAAATGTCCTCCCACAAAGTACAGCCAAGTCCTGACACTTACAGGCAGGTTAGAGCCCTCCTGGGCACCAGCAGGTGAATAGATGTTAAGATAAAGGCAGTCTTCAGACATTGAGATGGAAGGTATATTTATATTAAAAGCAACTTGCAGACACCTGTTTTGAAGAGTAGATAATTATTCCAGGGTTTATCTCATGGCAAAAAATCTGATCTTGAGGCTAGATTTGTTTCCAGTCACTGTAACTATCTGCCGCACTGGTGCCCTGTTTATACAGAATCTTCTCTCGTGTTTCTCCCAAACAAGACACAGACCACATTACTTGGGATTCATGAAGCTCTCCATCTCAAGCTAGGCTGTAGCTTTGATTTTCAGAAAGCCTTCACATTGTTGTGGGCATTGGGTATCTCTCCTCCTAAGTCTTGTACATCTTGACTCATAGAGTTTTCTAGAAGCATTGGCTGCAAGTATTGACATTTATACTTTCTCTCTGTGCCAATTAAAGACCAGCCAGGGTTGCTGCCACCATACCAGTATAGTATGAATGCATGAAGCTCAGTTACCCCTAGAGTCGTGGGACATTGCTGAAATCCAAATCCAGACCCCAGGGAAATACATTCCTTCAACCATATGTCCACTTGAAAGCACTTACACATTTCCTTAACCAGTGCCACCAGGCCCTTTGAGTAGGCACAGTGGGTATGGAGCTTGGCTTCTCCCAGGAGCCCCCATTGCTGCCTTCCTCAGGGATCTGTAGCATCTGCTGCTGGACCAGGACCTTTGTCAGGTACCTATAGCCAACGTGATCCTTTCTCAGAGACTCCTCCTCTGGTGGCCGATAACTATTGGCATTATCCAAGCCATAGCACAAATATATGTTTGTGCTTTGACATCTAGTGCTAGCACTGTTCATATGTAAAGGCAGAGTCCGGAGCCTGGCACTGAATCTCAACAAATTCAATGTAAACATGGACAGGAAACATTCTCCAGTGCAGAAGGAAATGGAGTGTGGATTGATTTACATGGGAGAAATACTCAGCCTGGTTCAGGGTGCCCCTCCCACCACAGAGATCCTCACCCCATGAGAACTTACATGGCTGGGTAGGAGGTGGCATTCCTCACACCACTCCATGGTTCAGGGGGCTCTGGAGGGGCAAATCGCAATGAGCCTACAGGTGGCTTGGCAAAGGGAATGCCCAGGAAGGTGTGGACTCCCACATTGGTGTCATTCACATGGACGAGGCTGCCCTGCACCTGCCCATATTGTGTGGTTCTGATGGGGCTGGCTGGCTCCTGGCCTGTGGGTAGAGATGCACATCAGAATTAGTTTGGCCCCCATCAGCTGCCACTCACATTGTGGCTCCTGTTGGCTCTATGCCACCCACAGTTTAGTCTGGCAAGGTCCTCTGACCTGCAGGTTCAATGGCTTCACATACATTCTGCCTGCATGACTGTGCTCCAACACCACTGTTTTCACTGACCTGACCCAGACCTTCCTACCAGGCAGGCTCCCTGAGGTTCTTTGGGACTTGATTTCATCATTAAGCCCTACCAGCTTCCAGCTTATGTCTTAAGTGATGGGAGAATAAGCATCATTTCTAGTTACCCAACATTTTTATAAAGGCACCATGAGAAAGCTAAGGATTGGACTGAACCTTTCCAATCCTCATGGAACTCACAGTGGAGGTAGCTAAAATGCTAAGAAGAGATAAGGGCCCTAAGAAGAGAGGAACACATCTCTGAGCAGATTATGAAAACCTTGGCTGGCTTTTGTTGGGTTTTAAGAATAGGGCAGTCCATTGGATACCAACCCATAGTCCACATCCAACTGGCTTGTACAATGATAATTGTTTAAGTGGATGCCGATTACATTGGGTTTGTTTCTTCTAACTTAAGACAGAGAACAGTTTTGTTTGTGCTCATGTTTGGTAGTCCCAAAACTCCTGCTCCTTTATGTGTTTTAGACATCCAGTAAAGACCACAATTTCTGGCTATATTTTAATCAGTACCAATTCCACTTCTAATGGAATCTTCTCTCCCCCATTACTAACTTCAGGTTGCAGTAATTCACAAATTTCACCTGTTCCTATGAGAAAATTAACTCTCCTGCTCCTAAGCAATGGCTCAGAGCTAGTTGTGAATCAGCCAGGTTCATGTCACCTGCTATGGCCGAATCAAGATAGCAACCACAAATAGACACCACAGACAGCAATTTCCCAACATTGTTGCAAGTCCACAGACATACCAATGATCTCCATGTTGTCTACACAAGAGGTTTTGGCTACATGGGAACTCTGAACCTCAGTGTGGCCACCAACCACTCATACTCATAGCTGTTACAGTAAAGGATAAAAATTGCTCTTAGGTTCCTGTTAGAGACCAGCTACATAGATGTGATTGAAGCCCGTCATGAAAGTTTCTGAGGAAGTTGAGCCATACAGAGTCACAAAATGACCCTTAAATTAAGAGATTTAAAACCCTGGGCCTTCTAGATACATGGTTTGCTCAACCAGCTCCTCATGATAGTAACAGTTGTGGTCTTGGACTCACTATTTCACAATCAATACCCAGAACCTGATCAAGAGCAGGTAAGGGAGGGAATCTGGTAGGAGTGGGCCATGGGTAAGGGGAGGGGAACTGCTTAGGGTAGATTAAATAAGAGAGAGTAGGGGAGTTCATCAGGACCTACCCTAACACGCTCTGTGGTGAGGGGGATCAAAGGTTGCACATATATTTCTGGATATAATTCTCTGGTGGCATGAGCTCCTGATAAGGGCCTGGGGACTTTGTGATAGGCACAGGGTACATACCCTTTACCCAAGGAGCCAACAAGCTTTTGCCCAGATTTGAATGAAACCCAGTGACATCTCAATTCAACTTCATGTTGTGTTTCTGAGCTCTTCAAGAACTAGAAACTTTTGCCAGGGCATATTGAACCATGCCAAGATGCTTCTCTGGAGATAAAGGAGACCCATCCATAAACAAAGGAATGTGGGAATGACATTAGCAGATTCAGTAGCAGTTATAGCCACAGGTATACCTACACACAGAGGACGGCAATGTCCAGAATCCCTGACTCTGCCTGACACATTTCAGTGCACCTCAGACTCTTCGATTTGGGGCTCACTCCTCTGTGTCCTCAGGCATCAATGACCCTCTCTGAGTTCGATGATCTCCACCGTGGGCTTTTATGGATGCTTAAAGAGCACAATTTTCCCACACTATCATTTGTGATGTCCACCGCCCCCCCCCCTCCCTTCTCCAAGCTCAAACTCTGCTCTACACAATGTGGCAGATCTCAGCCTAGTCCTTGTACTCTCCAACCCCCACCCCAACTCCCTGCAGGAGTCTCACCCTGAATCTGGAGTGGGAGAAGCAGGAATCCACAGACCACTGCAGTCAGACAAGCAGGAAGTTGGTGGAGTAGCATGGCTGCCTCACAAGACCTTTTCTGGCCCTCCAGACAGCACACTGCAACTGAACAACAGGTACAGTTCAACTAGACCTTGCCCAGCCAGGAGTTTGGACCTGACATGGAGTAGGCAGGGACATTTAGAGGCTGGGCAAGGTTATTCCTGCAAGAGAATGTTGTCACTGATGGGGCAGTGGTCACAGGAAGTCAGTAGTCAGCACTGTGGGTGTGAGACTTCCCTTCTCCTACTTTGCCTTTGCCTTCTTCCAGAGGTGCTGTGTGGCTTCTGCAGCCCTTGAGATACTAGGAGCTATCACTGAGGTGAAGGTTGTAATGGAGAAGTTCATGGGTAGTCTGCAGAAAAGCAGACTCAGGATCTCACAGATGGATATGCCCCCCACCTTCCATGGGAAAAAGGTGAGCACTTGAGCAGAGACAGGGAGCTATGACTGTGCTCATTTTGAAATTCCTCCTTGATCTCATTGCTCATAGATTCCTGAGTCTACTTTCAAGTTCGCTCATGTCTTGGAGTTGTGGTCTCAGCATCTGCATGGACCCTTTCCTATTTAGGAATGGCTGGTCCCTTTATACCTATTTGTCTCTGTAGCCTTTCTTAAGGACTCATTCTCCTATTCATCCAGCCCTCAATTTGTGGCTACCATAGTTTCTGACCTCAAGGGCAGTCATTTACACACTTGAAACACATTTAAGGGAACTTGGTAGTTGCAAAACTGAAAAGAGAAGACAGGGTTCTCTGGGCTTGTGGTGATCTGGGAGCCAGGTCAGTAACTGGGAGTGTATGAAGTACTTAGAATGCTGCTAGGATTCAGTAAGGGGCCAGGAGCTGCAGCCCAGCCTGACTTCCCAGAAGAAGTAGTGCCATTGGAAATCAGTTTTGATTCTTCAAGCTGGTGCATAATACTGTTGAGTACCTACAGCCTGGCACCACAGGCTTTCTTTCTTAGGACCATTCCTGGAAGGGTCATTTCTACTAATATGACTTATCTAAAGATTCTCTGAACTGAAATGGGGAATTCCCAGGAGTCATCACTCAGACAAAATATATAGCCAATGGAAAGTCTTCACTAGCCGACTGCTGACCACACTCGAGTGTTAGGTGTGATGATCCCCTCAAATAGAATATAAAATATGAAATTAGAAAGAGGAACAATTACTTATGATCAAGAATAAGGCCAAACTTGAAAGGCAGGATCTGCCTATACAGAAAAAAATCTCCAGGCTAGTCATTAAAAAGAAAACTTCCAAAGATAAAAGGCTTGAAGTAAATTGTGAGTTAAACACCAGGTTACTAGAATTTGGTAAATAACAGTGAGACTCAGAAAGAGCCAGAAAACCTAGAAAGTGGTTTGATTTTGGGGTGTGATAAGTAAGACATTTGGAATGCGATTTTTGCTATTTTTGTTGTTCTGCTTAGTGAGGTTGTAATTGCTATTTCATTAACTGGCATCTTTGATGGGAAGATTGGGATGAGGACTTTGTCTTGTGACTTATTGCCTTGTGATTTGAATGACTGGAATGATAATCACCATTTTGTAATCCTAACTGCTAGCTCTGCTTCTTTAACTTACTTCTTTGCCTATCACAAAACTACCCTGGCCACCTGCAAGTAGGCCCTCCCTTCCCCCATGGCTTGCCTTAAAATACCCTGAGCTATTTGACTTTATTGCTGGTCTTCAATGTCTTCACCTGCCCTGGCTAATAAACAATTCCAAGCCCAATTGACTGTTGGTGACTCCTTTCGCCAATCATAGGTTCGAGTCCCACCAGCCAGGGAAGTTGGGATACTTCAGCGTACTCAAGTGTAATAGCCTCCCAAACAAGTCAGGTTCATATACCCCTCACCTGAGAGTTTGTAAGTTCCCTTTTCCCTAATCTTACAGCTACAAGCAAACAGGAATCAACAGTAGCAGAAGTCAGCGTTAAGCAAAGTGGTGCCTTATCCAATTTAGGTGCATTGTGCAGTGCATTTTCCTGCCCTGGCTGGCTTTGAACCACAATCCTCAGATCTCAGCCTCCTGAGTTGCTAAGATTACAGATGTGAGCCACAAGTGCCCGGCTTGGGCTTCAGGTCTTTGAGACTGGAGTCCAGCTGCAGTTGCCAGCTTTCTAATGAGACTCTCAATTGGACCTCTCAGGATGTGGCTTCTCTATTTCTCCTGGTTGAATTCCTGTACAAAATGGGTTCAAGATCCTGGTTTGATGCCAGCCAAATGGGTGGGCAAGGGGAGAATGTGATGCTGCAGTGTTGGTAAATCAAGACACTCGTCTGGAGACTGGAATAAGGATATTTGGCTACTCAGATTCAGTAGCTCTCTCTGACCTTCATTCTCAATCCAAATAGCACCTGGACTAGGGTGCTGAGAGTTTAAGGTCCAGGATCAAGTTGAGTTATTCTGACTGAAAATCACAGTGTTTCTTCTTAATTCTCTGGCTGTGGTGCACCACTGCAAGGCTGAAGGTCCCGATGGGTCCTTCCACTTCCTCCACCATCATTCAGAGACATGACACCTACAATAACCATGCTAAAAAACACGGAATGAACAGTTCTTAGAAGCATTCTGTATGTTTGAGGAGGTTGATGAAAACTTACATATATCTAGTGATCTGGAGAAAGATGAGGAGGCAGGGCCAGGAGAGAGAAAAAGACAGACACACACACAGACACACAGACACACAGACACACAGACACACAGACACACAGAGAGAGTCACAGAGAGGCAGAGAGACAGACACAGAAGAACTGAGCAAGAGAGAGAAAGAGAGAGACAGACACACAGAAAGACATATAGGGAGATTCACAGGGAGAGACAGAGAAAGAGAGAAAGAGACACAGGGGGCAGGAGGGAGGGGGGAGATGGGAAGGGATGGGAAGGGGAAACAAAGGAGGAGGCAACAATGCTTGATAAGAAATGTACTCATTACCTTGTTCATGTAATTGTAACCCCTCTGTCCAGTATTTTCACAATTTTAAAAAAAAGAGACAGAGAGACAGAAAGTGTAGTGAGTGAGACTTATGGAATAATGGCATAGTGCATTGTTAAATAGGGAATATATTGAGTGTACGTGTACTGTGAAACAGTATGAAATATTAAGCTGTGAAATTAGGAGTTAGAACTATGGAATACAGAGATAAGTACACACCCAGGGAGCCAAAGACTTTACTAAGGTGACCAGCTAAAGCAGAACCTGCTGAGATATAAGAGTTAGTTATTGGTGTGGTTTCATACTGGTATATTTGAAGTATTTGGATAAATTGAGTGAAACTTATTAGTCTAAGCATGATGCTACATGTGTGCTCTGCAGAGACAGAGACAGAGACAGGCAGACAAAGACACAGACTCAGACACAGACATGGTCACAGACACAGAGAGACAAGCAAAGAGAGAGAGAAGGAATCAGATATGTGAGCCAGGTACTAGTGGCTCACAAGTGCAATCCTAACTTCTCAGGAGGCTAACATCTGAGGATCCTGGTTCAAAGCTATTCCATTGCACTCACCAAAAGGCACAATGCACTTAGTCTTTGTCCAACCAGGAGTTTGGATGTGACATGGGGGTAGGCAGGGACATAGGAGAGGCAGGGCAAGGTTGGTCCTGCAAGGGAGTGGCACTGATGGGGCAGTGGTCACAGGAAGTCAGTGGTCAGCACTTTTTGTGAGCCCTTCCCTTCCCCTACTTTTCCTTTGTCCTCCTCCAGGGGAGCTGTGTGGCTTCTGCAGTCCTTGGAATACTGTGAACTCTCACTAAAGTGAAGTTTGTAAATTCGGCGCTATCCTGAGAGAAGCAGGCTCAGAATCCCACAGATGGATAATGTCCCCACAACATGAGTGCAAACACGAGTACTTGAGCAGAGACAGGGAGCTATGACTGTGCTCATTTTGAAATTCTTCCTTGAACTCATTGTGCACAGGTTGCCAATTCCCACTATAGTTCCGTTATCCCTCAGAGACCTGGTCTGAGGGTCTGCGTGGGCCCCTTCCTGTTTGGGAGTGGCGGTCCATTCAAACATACTCTTCACTGTGGCCTGCCTTAAGGACCCATTCCCCTTCCAACCTGTGGCAACCCTGGTGGCTGAGATCAAGGGCAATCATTTACCCGCTTGAAAACCATTTGAAGGGAACTTGCTGGTTGCAGCGCTGTGAGGAGACAGGACTCTCTGGGCCTCTGGTAATCTGAGACCCTGGTCTGTAATCAGGAGCTTGTGAAACATGTAGATCCTGCTAAGATGCAGTGAGACACCAGGGCCAGGAGCTGCAGCCCAACCTGACTTCCACGAGGATGTGGTGCCAGTGAAAATCAGCTTTGACTCTTCAATCTGGTGCACAATACTCTTGAGAACTTACAGCCTGGTAGCATGGGTGTTCCTTCTTGGTGCTATTCCTGGAAGGCTTATTTCTCCTGGCATGACTTGGCTTTCTGACCTCCATTCCAGCCACAAGGTCTGATGTGAACTCAAGGTCTCCAATCTAAGGAACTGTGGCCAAGGATATAGACCCAGACCCTTCTACCCAGACCTGGGTAGATGTTCTTGTTGGACTCTTACACAGTTTGGAGAATAGACAATGACACCAATCACCATGAGCACAGGTTTATTGCAGAGCCTCTAGCTCAAGTTCAATGATTCACTCTTGATTAGAGGATAGAATTTTTGTAGTGGGTTCATGGGAACATTAATGTATTCCGGTAGGACCTGATAAGAAAGTAACTAATATAGTGCTTATGCTCCTGGATTTGGGGTGTGTGTGTGTGTGTGTGTGTGTGTGTGTGTGTGTGTGTGTGTGTGTGTGTGTGTGTGTGTGTGTGTATACACGTGGGTGCGCGCATGCGTGCATCTGTCTGTGTGCTGGTAGTAGGTCTTGAACTCAAGGCCTGAGAGCTATCCCTTAGCTTTTTCACTCAAAGCTGGTGTTCCACACCACTAGAGCTGAAGCTGCATTGGCAGCTTTTTGCTCCTTAACAGGAGAGAAGAATCTCATGGACTTTCCTACCCAGGCTGGCTTCAAACAGTAGCCCTCAGATCTCAGTCTCTTGAGAGGTTCAGGACACCAGTGCATGGCTCAACCCATGCATTCTGGTGGAGGTTGATCCAGATATTATGCAAACTGGGGCACAGCTGAAGAAGAGAGTGAATGAAGCAGGTGGTATTAGGTCAAGGTGATGGTCTGGTATCAACCAAATAGTCAACAACCAGACAAGTGGAGAAAGTGAGGCTGGAGTGTGTGTAAACCCAGGCACTGGTCTGGAACCTCAGGATAAGGACTTTTGGCTACACAGACTGAATAGCTCTCTCTGACATTCATTCTCCTAACCTGATCAGCACCTGGGCTGGGGAGCTGAGAGTCTAGGTCGTTGAGGTTCAGGGTTTAGTAACAAGTTCCTTCATTTTCACTGAAACTCACAATGTTTCTTCTTAATACTGTGGCTCTGGGGCACCACTGCAGGGCAGATGGCCCTCATATGCACTGTCACTTCCTGTACCATGATTCAGAGATCCCAGCATCCACAATAACCATGCTAATAGCAAAACCATGGAATGAAAGGGTTTGAGATTCATTAGTGATCTGGACAAAGACAAGGCAACAGAGACAGGACAAAAAGAGAGAATATGAGAGGGAGAAACAGAGAAAGACACAAGAGAGGCAGACACAGAGAGGCAATCACAGACATCAACAGAGACATAGAGAGACAACCAAAGAGATATAGAGAGACAACCAAAGAGAGACAGAGAGAGAGCATCAAAGAAACAAGCCGGGGCAAGTGGCTCACACCTGTAATCCTAGCTTCTCAGGAGACCTAGAACTGAGGATCTTGGTTCAAAGCTAGCCTAGGTGACATTTTTATCTCCAAGTAAACACTCAAAAACCCAGAATAGAATTCAATAGAAATGAAAGTCTGTCTCTGCATAAAATTAGGTTTGAAAGTGTCCTAAACAACTTGATTAAAAATATCAAGGACTGGGATGTAGCTCAGTGGCAAAGCACTTGCCGAGCAAGTACAACATCCTGGGTTTGATCCTCATTACCAAAAAAACTAAATAAATGAAGAGAGAAGAGAAAAAAACAATGAAGAATGTGTCACACTCAGATGTGAGGTTCCGTTGATCTCCTGGATCTTCTGGGGCAAGGTCTTGGTCCAGGACTTCAGCCTGGAGGCCTTCAGGGCCTGACCTATGGCAGGATGGATATCCAGCTGTAGCTACTGCTCATTCTGGTCAAACTTGGGCCAGTGGAGTAGGTCCTCACTATTGGGGTTCCTATGGACACACCCTCCCAGGAGGAAGAGTGAGGGTCAATCCAGGTACTTGTGAGCCTGGACCCAATCACCTCATTAGGGTCATGCAAGGCATCCCAAAAGATCAGGAGTAGGGGAATGAGGGAAACTTCTGATATAGGAAAACACTCCCACTAGTGTCTGTTCTATATGGTTCAGAGCCACATCACAGAGTTGAGTGCTGATGTTTCCACAAAAATGTGAACTACCTTTCAGGTCTCTTGAGCAAGAGAGAATGACTTGACCCTATAAAACTCTCTCTCTCTCTGTCTCTGTCTCTGTCTCTCTGTCTCTGTCTCTCTCTCTCTCTCTCTCTCTCTGTGTTTCTCTCTCTGTGCCTGTGTCTGTGTCTGTATCTGTCTCTGTCTGTCTGTCTCTCTCTTTCTCTTTCTCAGTGTGAGTCCTGGGGTTTAAGGGAGGACTGTCATAGAATTAAGGATCATACATGCATATAAAAATGCCATAAGGGGATCACTAGGTGGACTCCACTCATGGGAGGCAGGGTTAGGTGTGTTATTTCACCCATTCTGGGCCAGGTTGGCCCAGTACTTCATCATCCTCCTGCTCAGTAGCTCCTCCTCTTCAGAAAAGCCAGCTGTACAGAGGAGAACAAGAGTCTACATCTTGGACAACCTTTCAGGGTGCCTACTTCTGCTCTACACCCTTCATTCAACTGTGGTCTGGTCCTCCATACCAGGCCTGATCCTTTCCCTCTGTTCCACTCAGGAGCAGGCACTCCCATTATACAACCTTTCATTCTTCTTCCCTACCTCTAGCTGAAAACGGCGGTGTGTATTCCTCTGACCCCCATTCCAGTCACAAGATCTGATGTGCACTCAAGATCTCCAGCCTAATGAACTCTGGCCCAGGAGATGGACAGAGACCCTTCTATCCAGACCTGGCTAGATGCTCTTGGTAGATTCACACACAGTTTGGAGAATAGACAAAGAGACAGATTACCATCAACACATGTTTATTGCAGAGCCTTTAGCCAAAGCTTAAATATTCACTCCTGCTTACAAGCTAGGGTTTTTGTATTGGTTTAGTGAGAATGTTAGTGTAATCCAGTAGGGGCTGATAAGAAAGCAACTAATGTGGTGCTTCTACCCTTGGAGTCTCTCCCTCTCCCTCTCTTTCTCTGTCTCTCTGTCTCTGTCTGTCTCTGTCTGTTTCTGTCTGTCTCTGTCTCTGTCTCTCTGTCTCTCTGTCTCTCTGTCTCTGTCTCTCTCTGTCTCTCTGTCTCTCTTTGTCTCTCTGTCTCTCTGTCTCTGTCTCTCTCTCTCTCTCTCTTCTGTATATGTGTGTGCTGGAATTGGGACCTGAACTCAGGGCCTGAGAGCTATCCCTTAGCCTTTTCACTCAAAGCTGGTACTACACACTATTATAGCAGCAGCTCCATTGTGGGGTTTTTGCTGTTTAACAAAAGATAAGAATCTCATGGACTTTCTTACCCAGGCTGGTTTCAAACTGCAATCCTCAGATCTCTGTCTCCTGAGTGTTAGGTACAGACCACCAGTGCATGGCTCAACACATGCATTCTGGTGGGGGTTGATAAGAAAGTAATTAATTTAATAGTAATAATTCAAACTGGGTCACAGCTGAAGAAGGGAGGAAATGAAGCAGGGACGTTAGCTCATGGTCCTGGTTTGGCCCCAGCCAAAAGGATTACAGCCAGACAAGGGGAGAAAGTGAGGCTGGAGTGTTTATAAATCCAGGCTCTGGTCTGGAACTTCAGGATAAGGACATTTGGCTACCCAGAATTAAGAGCTCTCTCTGACCTTCATTCTCCTAACCTAATCATCACCTGTGCTGGGAAACTGAGCATTTAGATCCTTGAAATTCAGGATCCAGTAACCAATCCCTTTATTTTAACTGAAAATCATGCTGCTGCTTCTTAATACCATGGCTGTGGTGTCCACTGCAAGGCTGAAGGTCCCCTCATGCCCTGCCATTTCCTGCACCATCATTCAGAGACCTTGGCATGCACAATAACCATGCTAATAGTAAAAGCATGGAATGAAAGCCTTTTAGAAGCATTTTGTATCTGCGAGGAGGTTTATGAAAACTTACATATAGCTAGTGATCTGGACAAAGATGAGGAGACAGACAGACACACAGACAGACAGACAGAGACAGAGACACAAAGACAAGAGACAGAAAGAGAAAGAGAGAGAAAGAAAGGCAGACACAGACAGAGAAGCAGACACAGACATAGACATAAGCATAGAGAGACAGAGAGATAGAAAGAAAGCATCAGAGACACAAGCAAGGTGCCAGTGGCTCACAGTGTAATCTTAACTTCTCAGGAGGCTGAAATCTGAGGATACTGGTTCAAAGACAGCCCAGTTCGAAAAGTCGCCAATTAAACACTCAAAAACCCAGAATAGAATCCAACAGAAACGAAAGTACGTGCCTGCGTAAAGTCCTAAACAACTTAAAAATAGCAGAGAATCTGTCACACTCAGATGTGCTATGTGAATAAAAAGTAATGTGTGCATTCATAGAAGGCGTTCCTCAATAAAAGAAATAACACTTGATTCTTAAAGTATTAATCGCCTTGACTTCAAGTCACAAACAATTCAGTTACTATGATATGCTATATTGTGTTATTATTTTTCCAAACAATATTGAATCTTGATTGCAACTAAATACAATTGGGCCAGGACGTAGTGGTTCTTACCTAAAATCCTAGCAACTCAGAATGCTAAGGGCTGAAGATCAAGGTTCAAAGCCAGTCCAGGCAGAAAAGATTTTGGAGATTCTTATGTCTAATTAACAAGCAGAAAGCCAGAAGTGGAGGATGGCTCAAGAAATAGAGATGCAACATTGAGGAGGAAAATAAAAAAACAAGTCAGAAGACAAAGCCCTGAGTTCAAGTCCTAGTACTGGAATATAAAACAAACACAATCAAGTGTTTACAAAAGCTGAGTAAAAGAAAGTAATTAACTGTAAAGTATGTGAAGGGAGTTCGTTGCATGAAAGAAACATTTTAACACATGATATAGGAGTGGATGTGGGTAAATTTAACTGCATGGAAATTAATCCAAAACAAAACTCCTTGTACACTTGTGTGGATGAGAGAGAAAGAGAAAGAGAGAGAGAGAGAGTATTAGAGAAACTTAGAAATTAAATTGGCTTAATTTTGGCTACTTAGAAGTTAGAGAAAAAAATGGGATTTGCTGAAGGGTCAATCTGGGATTTTAACCCACTTCTAGGAGTAACATGCTCAGAACATCTTCTTCATTTGAAGAGAGGCTGGGGACTTGGAGCAGACAGAGGTTGGGGAGATGAGATGAGCGAGAAAGAAAGTAGCCCAGGCCCATGGGGTATGGAGGACTGTGAGCACTTGGAGCTCATCCAGCTTCATTGCCAGGGGGCATTTATTGAGTGTGTCTAACCAGAGAGTGCTCAGGCAAGTTGGTCATGAACATCATGCAGGGAGTTATTCATAAGTATCAGCTGGTTGGCTGGCTGACAGGATACAGGGGGATGAATGGCCAAGTGAATGAATGATTGAGTCAATTTCTATTTCATGGTAAATGTATGGGCACCTCCTACTGATCCTACTCATCCACTCATCCTGACATGGACCACTACAGCTCTACATGCTTCTCAGCCCCCTTGAGCTCCTGGATTTTCTGGGGCAGGGTCTTGGTCCAGAACTTCAGCCTGGAGGCCTTCAGGGCCTGTCCCACGGCAGGATGGATGTCCAGCTGTAGATACTGCTCATTCTGGTCAAACAGGGGCCAATGTATCAGGTCCTCACTGTTGGGGTTCCTGTGGACACACCCCACAAGGAGAAGGGGTGAGGGTCATTCTAAGGCCTGGTGAGCCTGGACCCAATCACCTCATTAGGTGATTTGGGCAGGCAGCCCAAAGGTCAGGAGTGGGGGTATGAGGGAATGAGGGAAACTTTTCTGATAAGGAAAACAAGGCCCTCCCACAAGTGTCTGTTCTATATGGCTCAGAGCCACCTCACAGAGATGAGCGCTGATATTTCCACAAAACTGTGCTCTACCTTTCAGGTTCCTGGATCAAGAGAGTGTGACTTGAACTTACCATTCATTCTCTGTGTGTGAGTGACTCCTGGGGTTTGAGGGGGGAAATGCCAAGTAACTAAGGTCATGAGCAGTCATGAGTACATTACAAAGGGATCACTAGGTAGACTCCACTCACTCATGGGAGGCAGGGTTAGGTGTATTATCTCACCCATTCCGAGCAAAGTTGGCCCAGTACTTCATCATCTTCCTGCTCAGTAGCTCCTCCTCCTCAGAAAAGTCAGCTGCACAAAGGAGAACAAGTGTCAAGATCTTGGCTAATTTCAGGGTGCCTACTGCTGCTCTCCACCCTCCATTCAATTGTAGTCTGATCCTCCATACCAGGCCTAATCCTTTCATTCTACTCCACCCAGTATCAGAGACTCCCATTCCATAACCCTCCATTCTTCTTCTTTGTCTCTAGTTGAATACACCAGTGTGTATTCCTGGAATAGAGGCCATTTCTACCCTCAGTCCCTGGAATAACTTAGGAACATTTATAACATCCAAGCATGTACTCTGTACCCATGACTGATACCTTATTGCTGGTGGGGACGGGTGTTATGAGCACAGGCTGCTTGGGAAAAAACTTGGAATGTAAACAGCTGCAGCTTTTTGAGTGGTAAGATTCTGCACACTTGATCTTGTCTTCTATCTAAGCTTCAGTTTCCTTATGTAGACCACGAGGAAATTCACCTACAGGGACCCATTCAATCACCTACAGTGTGGCCCATTCTAGCTTATGGAAATGAAGAAGACTCACGGCTGCTGCCACCAAAGGAGGACCCGAAGACAAAGACAACCTCAGCACCATGGTCGGCCCTTATATTCTGGAGCTTAAGGTCCTTGATGAAGCTGTAAGGATGTTGGAACTCATAGAAGTAGACAGGGCTATGGGAACCTGGAAGTGGAGACAAATTATGACATGGTGACCCCTCATTTGGAGTTGTCCTTCCTTGTCTTTAGTGATAAGATGCCTAGACTGAACCTGGCTGGAATCTGGACTGTGAAGTGAGAAGCCTCAGGAAGAGGCTTCTCAAAGACCAAAGATGGTCATCACATTAAATGCTCCATTCTCTGACTTTGGGATGAGCTTTGAGGTCAAGAACTGCATGTTACTTTCATCTTCCACAAGACCCCAGTGGGAAAAACCTTTGGTTAAATCATGGCTTTGATTTTCTGTGTGTTCTTGGCTTAATCATTATCTAAGTTTCCACTTCTGTAAAGTGCCAGTGATGCCTGTGTCTTACAGAAGCCTTGAGAATTTATTGACCTGTGTGGCATCAAGTGCCTGCCACTGCCTTGAGAGAGACAAGGGTGGAGATTGGACATCACAGAGGTCACCCTGGATGCACAGCTCTAAGCTGCCCGCTGCTCAGGCAGGCTTCAGCTACAGATGTACTCACGCTGAAAATGTGCTACTTGCAGTGCAGGCATCACGAACATGAAGTCCCCCATCATGTCTTGGAACTGGGCTTGGAGGGTCTGGGGGTCCTCGGTGTCCCCCATGTACTCTTCCATCAGCAGGTGAGCACACTCAGCAGGCAAGTTCTGTGCCAAGAGGATCAGAGAGCATCAGTGTAGGCAGGAGTGCAGTGGCAGGGAGGAGGCAGCCTCTGGGTGCAGAGATGGCACCTGACTGAGACATTAACATAGGAGGGAAAGAGTCAAGTGCTGGAGTAACCCCACCACCAACACACAGATACCCCATTGTATATTCCTGGAGGTTACTGTGTGAATAGATGCCTTGGGGTACCCCATCCATTGGTGCAGGTGTTCAGATTCTTACCATGAGTCCTACTGTGTTCTGCATTATAGCTGGCAAGGTCTTTCTGTTTATTTCCTTTATGGTGTCAGCAAGTCCAAAGATCTGAGTGGTGAGGAGACAGTTTAAGTTGGAATTACGTGGTCATGAAGGTATCAAGCCTTGTCCCACCCTATACACCCTGCCACTTAGACACATAACAGATGAGCTCCCCAGACAACTAATGAGTTAGAATGAAGTCTCACCATGGGGAGGATCCAACCATACTCATCAGTGTTGACACCAATGATGCTAGGGACTGGGTGGAAGTCAGCAGAGGCCAGCAGCTCCGTTGGGTGCTTGGGTAGGAAGACCCCATCTACCACTGCAGGGATGATCTTGAAGGTCTGAGGAGGCATCCATGACCAGGATTTGAGATCACATAACACATATTTTTCTTATATCCCTATGTTACTTCCACCCTATGCCAATTCTTCCCTGCATTCTCTCCCATACATATACCAAAAGATGCAACACTTAGGTTAGCCTCCCTTAGCCTTCATTTCCTATCCAGAGGTACAAGAACAGAGTGTTTGGTTCAGAGTATTAGGACTGGATGATACACATCGTATGTCCTTTTCCCCCTTCATGGAGAAGTGGGCTGGTCCACACCCACACCATTCAGCCTGACCTTGGTAATAGCCAGCATTTCCTCTTCACTCTTGGCCCGCAGGCAGCGCACCAGGGCCTCTGAGTCCATCTGCTCACAGGCAGACAGGTTGGCCACGATCTGGAAAGCAAACAGACAGAGGCTGCCTCACCCTTTGAAGTAGCAAGAGAGGTTTTCCCAGACCCAGATTGATGCAAGTTACTCCAGATCATTTAGGGTTTACTGTGTGTATTTCTGTAGGTGTGAAATTGTTCCCACATTCATGATGCTCAGGGACTTTGCCTGGAGGGGACATCTTTGCTGCTTACACGGTTATATCCACATAGGAGACTCTGGGTTTAGCATTAACTCAGTGAGGCTGAGAAGTATGGATTCTACCCTGACTCCTCAGCAATTATCAAGACGTTCCAAAGTTACCTTCATGGTCAATTTTGTACCCAACAAGACAAAATTAAAGCCTCTTTGGATAAGGATAGTATAGGGAGTCTGGACCAGAGCAGCTGAGGGTACTCACTGAGCGGACTGGTTCAGAGGAGCTGGAGATGAGGTCTGGCAGCAGGGCCACCCCACTCTCCATGATGGCACCATGGAAGAGTCCTTGGGACATGGGGGACACGACATGTGAGGACACACTTGTGCCACCTGCAGACTCGCCAAAAATGGTGACCTGGTCGGGGTTGCCTCCAAAGTGGGCAATATTCTGTTGGACCCAGCGTAGGGCGGCCACCTGGTCCAGGTAGCCCCAGTTGCCAGTGGCATGCTGGTCTCCAGTGCTGAAAGTGACAGAGACAAGGGTCACAGGGCTGTCCTGGCTGTGCTTGGCCCTCATTGCCCATCTCAATCCCACACTCACCTGAAGAAACCCGGGACTCCCAGACGGTACTGGATAGTGACCACCACCACATGCTCAGTGGCTGCCAGCATGGATCCATCATACACGGAAGCCATACCTACAACCAGTGCACCACCATGGATCCACACCATCACCTGGGAAAGTCAAGACAGCTGTCGTTGATTCTCATTCAGCCCCTTTCCTACCTCTGTGTCCATTACACTGCTCATGGCTTTGGCTGTGTGTAGTTGCCAACATAGAAAAAAACTCCCTTGAGACCTTCTGAACTTGGCCCTGGAGGAGGGCCACAAGTTCAGTCACTATCCTTGAGGACAACTGCAGGAATCCAAGTCTTAATTAGTGGCTTCAAGCCTGGAGTACCAGTGACCTTACGCTCTTGTCTATCTAACGTGGAAAGAAAAGGGGCATTTTCCTGATTGTCTCACTTTAATATGAGTCAAAGAATCACATACTATCATTGGCACAATAGATAACCCACAACTTGAGTGATCTCAAAGTTCCACAATTGGGCTCCTCACTGAGTCTTCTGGGCTCATGTTGGTAGTGAGTTCTTGTTTGATTAAAGAACCAAGGCCTCTAACAACTGGGAGCAGTTAGAACTCTGAATCCCCTACCATTGGTGATTCACGCTTCCTGACAAGTGGTGTTTGGAACCTGATAATGAAACTTTTCATTAGGAGCCACACTGCCTCAGAACCCAGGCTGTTCTTTCCACTACTAAGAGTCTTACAGAAGAAATGTTCTCCCAGAAAATCCAACACTCACAGGCAGGTTAGAGCCCTCCTGGGCACTGGCAGGAGAATAGATGTTGAGATAAAGGCAGTCTTCAGACATGGGGATGGGAAGTGTAGTTAGGCTCGACATTTCCCCTATATTCATCATATCCAAATTTTGCAGACACCTGGTTGCAATAGAAGACAATTATTCCAGTGTTTGTCTTATAGTCAAAAATCTGAACCTGAAGCTCAATTTGTTCCCAGCCACTGTGAACATTTGATACTTTGGTGTCCTGTTTATACCGAATATTTTCTCATATCTTTTCCAAAGAATGTGCTGGCCACAGGCTGGGGTGGATGACACTCTCTATCTCAAGCTAGAATGGAGCTCTGACCTTCAGGAAGCCTTCACCATGTTGGGGACATTGGGTTTCTCTCCCCCTAAGCCTTGGAAATCTCGACACATAGAGTTTTCTAGAAGTATTGGCTGCCAGAGTTGACATACCTTCTCTCTGTGCCAATTAAAGCCTGTCCAGGATTGTTGCCACCACACCAGTGTAGTATGAATGAATGAAGCTCAGTTATACATACGGTAGTAAAACATTGCTGAAATCAAAATCCACACGCAAGGGAATTGTAATCCTTCCACCATGTCTCCAATTTGAAGAACAGAGACATTTCCTTAACCAGGGGCACCTGGCCCTTTGGGTAGGCACAGTGACTGTGGAGCTTGGCTTCTCCAAGGAGCCCCCACTGCTGCCCTCCTCAGCGATCTGTAGCAGCTGCTGCTGGACCAGGAGCTCTGTCAGGTCCATATAGACAAGGTGGACCATAAGCTCTGTCAGGTCCATACAGCCCAGCTGAACCTTTCCCAGGGATGCCTCCCCTGGTGGCAGAGAACAATTGGCATGATCCAAGTCATGGCACAAGTATATCTCTGTGCTTTGGCACCTGGTGCCTAGCACTGTTTATATGCAAAGCTAGAGCTATGAGCCTGGCAAAGCTGTTCCACCTACTGAATCTCAGCAAATTCATTGGAAAAATCAACATGGGAAATTCTCCAGTTCAGATTGAAATGGACTGGGGGTATACATAGGAGAAATACTCAGTGTGGTCCAGGGTGACCATTCCACTACAGAGATTCTCACCCCGGAAGAGCTTACATGGCTGGGTAGGAGGTGGCATCTCTCACACCACTCCAAGATTCAGGTTGCTCAGGAGGGGCAAACCGCAGTGGTCCTACAGGTGGCTTGGCAAAGGGAATTCCCAGGAAAGTGTGCACTCCCACATTGCTATCCTTCACATGGATGAGGCTGCCCCGCACCTGCCCGGTGTGTGTGGTTCTGATGGGGCTGGCTGGGTCCTGGCCTGTGGGTAGAGAGATGCACATGAGAGTTGGGTGTGCCCCATCAGCTGCCACTCACATTGTGGCTCCTGTTGGCTCTATGCCACCCACAGCTCAGCCTGGCAAGGTCCTCTGATCTGCAGGTTCAATGGCTTAACATACATTCTGCCTGCATGACTGTGCTCCAACACCACTGTTTTCACTGACCTGACCCAGACCTTCCTACCAGGCAGGCTCCCTGAGGTTCTTTGGAACGTTATACCATCATTAAGCACTAGGAGCTTCGAGCTTAGTTTTTGGCAGAATAAGCATCATTTCCAGTAACCTAACAGGTTTTACAAGGCACTAGTAACACTGGGGATTGGACTGAACATTTCCAACCCTCAGATTCCTCACAATGGAGGTATCAGAAATGCCAAGATGAAATAGGGCTGCAAGGAGAGAGTCACACAGCTCTGATCAGATTGTGAAAACCCTGGCCGGCTTGTGTTGGGGATCAATAATGGAGGAGGACATAGGATATCATCTGCATCAATCTGACTTGTACAATCATGATATTTCTTTAAATGTATGCCGCATACTTTGTGGGTTGTTGTTTTTTTTAACGAATGTAAGGCAGAATCCTTCATGTGAGCTCACATTTGGTAGCCTCAAAACTCATGTTCCTTAAGATGTTTTGAGACAAGTAGTCAGGCCCACAATCTCTGGCAATTTTGTCATCAGGACCAATTCACTCTCCGCTGAATCCCCCAGGATCACCCTCCAATAAGAAAAGTAACTCTCCTGTCCCTAAGAACTCTCCAGGAACTATTTGTGAATCACAAAGTTTCATGTCACCTGGTATGGCTGGAGCCAAGATAGAAACCACAGACAGCAATTTCCCAATATTTTCCAAAATCTAAAGACATACCACTGACCTCCATGTAGTCTGTGCAAGAGATTTTGGCTACATGGGAACTCTGACCCTGGACCTCACTGTGCCCACCAGCCACTCATGCTTCATAGTAGTTATATAATTGATGTGTTTAAGGATAAACATTGCTCATAGGTTCTTATTAGAGACCAGCTAGCTGAATGTTGCTTCAAGCCTCTCATGAAATGATATGAGAAAGCTGAGTCCTACAGTGGAAAAAGTAACCCTTGAATTAGGAGAATTTAAACCTGGGTCTTCTGGGTAGCAAGATTTGCATAACCAGCTCCTTCTCATATAAACAATTGTTATGTTCAACTCACTATTTCAGAATCCATACCCAGATCCTGATCAAGCAGGAAAGTGAGGGGATCCGGTAGGAGTGGGCCATGGGTGAGGTGAGGGGGAACTCCTTAGGGCAGATTAAATAAGAGAGGGTAGGGGAGTTCATCAAAGCCTATCCCAGCTTGCTGTGGATTGAGAGGATCAAAGGTTACACATATATTTCTGATGTAATTCTCTAAGTAGCATGAGCTCCCGATATGAGGCCCAAGAGTTTGTGGCAGGCACAGTACATACCCTCTGAGTCCTAGAAACTAAGCCAAGCCTTCATACATAGGTGAAAGAAATCCAGGTCCACCTCGGTTCAACTTACTGATGTTTTTCTGGGGAAGTATATCTACTCCAGGACTAGAAACCTTTGCTGGGGAATATTGGACCTACCAAGATGCTTCTCTGGCAATGAAGGGGACCCACACAGGGACAGAGGATAGTGTGAACAACAATTACATGATCAGATTCAGTAGCAGTTACAGCTCCAGCTGCACCTACTCACAGAGGAGGAAAATGTCCAGAATCCCTGACGCTGCCTGGCACATGTCAGTGCACCTCTGGCTCTCATATTGGGCTCACTCCTGTGTTTCCTCAGGCATCTATAACCCTCTCTGAGCTATATGATCACCATCCTGGCATTTTATGGAGGTTTAAATAACACAATTTTCCCACATTGTCATCTGTCATGTCCACCTACTCCTTTCTCCCTCCCTTCTTTAACTTCAAACTCTGTTCTACATAATGTGGCAGATCTCAAGCTAGTCCCTGTTTCCCTCCACCCTGACCCTTCCCCTTGCAGTGTCTTACCCTGAATCCAGTGTGGAAGAAGAAGGAATCCATAGACCACTGAAGTCAGCCAAGCAGGAAGTTGGTGGAGTGGCATGGCTAGCTCACGGGACAGTTTCTGTGTCTCTATGCAGCACACTGCAACTCACCAACAGACAATTCACCTAGACTTTGCCCAGCCAGGTTTGGAGTAGGCGGGTCATAGGAGAGGCTGGGCAAGGTTGTTCCTGCAAGAGAGTGGTACTGATGGGGCAGTAATCAGGGCCCAGCAATCTGGTTGTGAGCCCTTCCCTCCTCCTACTTTCCCTTTGCCCTTCTCCAGAGGCGCTGTGTGACTTTTGCAGCCCTTGAGATACTGGGAACTTTCACCAGGGTGAAGGTTGTACTGGAGAAATTCAGGGCTGGATGGCAGAAAAGCAGATTCCCCTCCCCACCACCCCCACACTGGGGTAAAGGTGAGCACTTGAGCAGACAGGGAGCTATGACTGTGCTCATTTTGAAATTCTCCATTGATCTCATTGCTCATAGATTACCATTCCCCCTCGAGGTTCCTCATCCCTTAGAGCTGTGGTCTGAGGATCTGAATGGACCCCTTCCTATTTATGAATTGCTGGTCCATTCAAGCATACTTGTCCCTCTGGCATTTCTTAAGGACTCATTCCCATATTCACCCTCCCCCCCACCCCCCATCTGTGGCTACCCTGGTGGCTGAAATCAAGGGCAGTCATTTATCCACTTGAAATCCATGTAAGGTGAATTTATGGCAGCACTATGAGGAGGCAGGGCTCTCTGGGCCTGGGGTAATCTGGGAACCAGGTCTGTAATCCAGAGTGTGTGAAACACGTAGATCCTGCTAGGATGCAGTGAGACACGAGGAGTCAAGAGCTGCAGCAAAGCCTGACTTCCAAGAGGATGTGGTGCCAGGCTCAACCTCACACGGTCTTTACTGCCTGTGAGAACCAGCTTTGATTCTTCCATCTGGTGCACAATCCTATTGAGAACCTATAGCCTGGCACCACAGGCTTTCCTTCTTGGTGTCATTCCCAGAGGGCTCATTTCCCCTGGCATGACTTGCTAAAGATTCTCTGACCTCCATTCCAGCCACAAGGTCTCCAGATCTCCAGTCTCAGGAGCTGAGGCCCAGGACATGATCCCAGACCCTTCTACCTAGACCTGGGCAGATGCTCTTGGTAAACTCCCACATAGTTTGGATAATAGACCAAGTGACAGATCGCCATCAGCACAGGCATATTGCAGAGCCTTCAGCCAAAGCTTAATGATTTATTCCTACTTATAGGCTAAGGTTTTTGTAGTGGGTTTGTGGGAATCCTAGTGTAATCCGGTAGGGGCTGATAAGAAAGGAACTAATGTGGTGCTCCTGCCCCTGCATTCTGTGCATGTGTGTGTGTGTGCGTGTGTGTGTGCATGTGTGCGTGTGTGTGCATGTGTGCACACATGTGTGCTAGTACTAGGGCCTGAACGCAGGTCCTGAGAGCTATCCTTTAGCTTTTTCACTCAAAGCTGATGTTGCACTCCACTGGAGCTGCAGCTCCATTGCCAATTTATGCTGCTTAACAGGAGATAAGAATCCCATGGACTTTCCTGCCCAGGTTGGTTTCAAACTGCAATCTTCAGATCTCTCCTGAGTGTTAGGTAGAGGCCACCAGTGTGTGGCTCAACCCATGCATTGTGGTGGAGGTTGATAATAAAGTAACTAATAGCGAGAAATAGATATTATGCAAACTGGGACACAGATGAAGAAGGGAGGGAATGAAGTAGGGATTTTAGTTCAAGGTCCTGGTCTGGCCCCAGCCAATTGGGTTGCAGCCAGATAAGGGGAGAAGGTGAGGCTGGAGTGTTGATAAATCCAGGCTCTGGTCTGGAACCTCAGGATGAGTATATTTGGCTACTCCGAGTTAAGAACTCTCTGACCTTCATTCTCCTAACCTAATCATCACCTGGGCTGAGGAACTGAGCATTTAAGTCCTTGAAGTTGAGGATCCAATAACAAATACCTTTAGTTTAACTGAAAATTATGATGCTTCTTCTTAATACCATGGCTGTGGAGCACCACTACAATACGGAAGGTCCCCATGTACCCTGCTGGGGTTCCTGTGGACACACCCCAGGAGAAAGAGGGATAAGGGTCATTCTGAGTCCTTGTGAGCCTGGACCCAATCACCTCATTAGGGTCATGCCAGGCAGCCCAAAAGACCAGGAATAGAGGGAAACAAGGGATATAGAACATAGGGAAACAAAGACCTCTACTGGTGTCTGTTCCATATGGCTCAGAGCCACCTCACAGTGAGCGCTGATGTTTCCACAAAATTGTGGTCCACCCTTCAGGTCTCTGGGTCAAGAGAGTGTGACTTGAACCTACAAAGCCTCTGTGTGTGTGAGTGAGTCCTGGGGTTTGAAGGAGAGCTGTCACTTAACTAAGGTTCATGAGTGCTCATGAGGATGCCACAAGGGGATCACCAGGTGGACCCTTTCTGGGGAGGCAGGGTTAGGTGTATTATCTCACCCATTCTGGACAGTACTTTATCATCCTCCTGCTCAGTAGCTCCTCCTCCTCAGAAAGTTCAGCTGCACAGAGGAGAACGAGGGTCAAGATCTTGGCTAATTTCAGGGTGCCTAAATCTGTTCTCCACCCTGCATTCAACTGTAGTCTGGTTCTACCTATCAGGCCTAATCCTTTTTCTCTACTCCACCCAGTATCAGCCACTCCCATTGATTAACCTTCTCTTACTCATCCTAGCCTCTAGCTGAATAATACATCAGTGTATATTCCTGTCCTAGAGGACATTTCTACTCTCAGTCCTTGGAGTAACTTAGGAACATTTATAATTTCCAATCATGCACTCTGTACCCATGTCTGACACCTTATGGCAGGTGGGGACAGGTGTTATGAGCACAGGCTGCTTGGGAAAAGACTTGGAATGTAAACAGCTGCAGCTTTTTCAGTGGTAAGATTTTGCACACTTGATCATTTCC